TGTTCGGCGCACCTGCCCTGCCAATTCAGGCGCCTCGACGAAAGGGACTGATTGAGAGTGCAGCTGGTGGCCGACGGTAACAGCCAAGAATTCAGCCTCTGTCAGTTCTAGTTGCACATTGAATCAATGCATCGACGCGGGCAAAGCAAAGTCGATGGCTTTCGACACGCTCTCTGCCGCTCCAACAACGTTCTGCACGCCGAACTCGTACATCACGGATGCGATGAGAGCGTGTATGGCGTCCAGCATAGATCAAACCGCTTGTTGATCAAAAAAGACGCTTGATGTAGGTGCCGCGAGCTTTGAGATGGGGATGCGTGCGGCTGTGATAGTGCCTTCATTGTCTGAACAGCGTGTCAGACCGCGGCACACGCGTGATCCGATGGCAGTAGCACTGTAGGCCGATGCGATGAGCGGGTCTTCCGTCGAGGACGGCGCTAAAGAGGGGCAACGTTGAAGCCGCGCCATAAAGGGGTGCTTGAGCCCTAGGACGGGGCACCACGGTGCTGCTTGTTCAAAGAACGCTTCAATGTCACGAGAGTCGAGAGCTAGAAGAAGCTCGGAAAGCCGAAGCGAGGGCGACCGCGCAAAGCCTTGCATCGGCCGTAATGAGGAGACACCGTCGAGTTGCAGAGACGGTGCTGGTGTTTGTGACAATTCACCGATGAGCCACTCGTTGAGCCACTCGTTGAGCAGATCGGGTTCTGCACTGAATAGCTGCTGACGTTGCCGTTGATCCCCGGCTCTAACGGTGTCCTTTTGCAGCCTCGGCCGGCCTCGCCTGGCTCTTGGCAGCCACTGGCACGCTGTGCCTGCCATCTTGCAGCCGTGGCAGCGACCTTCGCCTTGGACAGTGATTGGTTCCGCATCCAACCTGGGAGCTAGTGCAAGAGCGCAGATGGCGGCTCGCCGTCGCATCTGTGCTTTCCTTGCCGACAGCCAACGCATGCCATGAGCCCGCGCAGAGTCTGTAGGGGAGGGGATTGAGATCGAGGCATGTTAATCTGGCGACGTCGGGCTCGAGTGCGGCGCGGATCTTGTGGGCTGGTGGTCACCAGTCACAGATCAGACAACCGGCCACATTCATGAAATTGCCTCAAAATGACCGCGGGCAGCTGGGCACCCTGCGGGACGTGAGAAAAGGCCCGTGCCGGCATAAACGCACAGCACACTATTCTGCAGAGGTATGCGAGGAGGGCGCCAGGAGACGGAACCTTGAGCAGCGAATCGCATCGCCCATGCAAGTCGCGGGCAAGAGAAGCAGGAAACGGTCCGCTACGGCCGTGTATGCTCTTTTGTTCAGTACGACGTACGGTATGGCGCGGTGCGGCGGCAGCCTTTCATATACGAGTAATGACCGCATATTGACCGCGCCACGGCGGGCACCAGTAGCCTGTGAGGAGCAGATGCAAGAAAGGAGCGCCTGCAAGGCTGCGGTCCAAGTATAAAGCATGGCCGCACGTCAAGCTCTGCGCTCGTTATTCCCCAAAATGATCGAGACACCGAACAGTGCATACCGATTGATTCCTCCCGGCTAATCACAAGACAAACCTGAAAAGATGAGCGTCTCTTTCAAGAGCTCGAAAAGAACACAGCAAGCGAAGGCGTCATGCTCACCTGGTCCGACCACAAGAAGCAAGCAAGCGTGCACGCTCTCTGTCCACCCTACCTTTCGCTTCTACCATCTCCGCTACTCGTTCCCCCACCGGCCACTGTCCTACTAACTAGCCTATTCTACGCTCGCAATGAAGCTCTCCCTCACCACCACCATTGCCATGGCGCTCATTGGTGCCTCGGCCGCGTCGTTGGCCGCGCCCGTGCCAGTGCCCGAGTGCATCAGTCGCCGCGCGCCGGGCCGCCTGGGTGTTGCTGGCGCTCTCACGAAGTCTGATTCAGGCCAGGGCCGCCTGGGTGGTGCTGGCTCTCTGAGCACTAAGTCTGATTCGGGCAGTAGCAGCAGCGCCCTCGTCGGGAACAACACGCCTGGGGGGTCGCGCATTCCCCCGCCACCCTCGCGACCATCGTCGCCACCACCGTCGGGGTCTCCCAGCAATTCGATGGGTTCCGAAGCAGCAGAGCGCGCCAGCCAGGCCTCTGTCGACCAGAAGAAGATCGACTTGTATAAAAAGTCGAACGAGGAGACCAAGAACCAGAACGCGAAGACTTTCGCACATAGCCAGGCCCACGACCAGGCGACTCTTGCAGAGACCAAGGCCCAAAACAGAAAGACTCTTGCTTTGAGTGCTGTTGGGGGGAC